TATGGTGACAGAATGAAGAGGCAGAATTTGTCATAATTCCTACTGGTTAATTCTACGAATCAAAAGTCCTCTGAATTTCACATTTAAAACACTCGTACATCAAGGTAGCAACGTCTGAAAAAAGTAGAGCTACTAGTTTTACTCATGTGAAGAGACTTGTCATTTCCAATGCAAGCAGACAAAACAACTGATCATCTAAATAAGGACAACGACAACTGAAATGCTTACAAAGGTCTGGTTGTGTGTGCGTCCAAAAAACTTGAAAGGCTGCTGCAATGTAATGGCTTCAGAGCTTCCATTATCCAAACGGGGTGATACTCTTTCTCCATTTCCAAAAGGTAGGAAATTAGCTGGCACTAGGACAAATGTAAGTGACAAGGAATCCTTTAGTTTTTTTTCCCCCAGAAACATAAGCTCGCAAACACTACCCTGCTTAAAACTTTGAAAGGGGAATTCACTAAGATTGAATTGTGCTCTCTAGTAGTGATGTTTATTTTGAAGTGAGCCACAGGTTTTTGGGACCCGATTCACTGCATAAATGATGTAAAACAGATAAGGGAGCTAGAGCCTCATGCCCACAAAATTAGCGCTGATCAGAATTTGCCCAGGGCAGTCGGCCAGCTCACAGGCTGCTTCTGAGTGCAAGGTTGCGGGGAGTAGAGCAGACCACTACAATCTGCCAGACTTTTCTGGGAATGCATAGTATGACTCACTTACTGATGCATCCAGCATCTAAATTGGCTTATTAAAAGGCCGAAAGTGCACTCAAAAACAATGTGCCAGGTAAAGATCAACTGTAAATAAGATTCAAGTTTTGGTGTTCAAGCATGGCATGCTACAACTGGCACCAAACTTTAGTGAATTCACCCCGACAATCTTTTTCTAAACAATATTACAAGTTGTAGACTTACGTTCTGGCGAGCCATCAACATGAAAAGACCAGCAAGCAGTCACATTGATATTACTGCTTGAAGACAGCTCAGGGACACTGGCTGTTGGAATTGTGAAAGAACTGGCAGAGTCCACAGTGTTATAACCAGCCTGTAGGAGTAAATAAAAAAGATGTAATTCATTAGGAATTAAACAAATAAAGTAAAATACAATAAAAAATGAATGAAAAGGGAGAGAGAGAAACCGTTCTTTTGCATTCATGAGCAATTCCTTATAAACTGTATGCTTGTATTCATTTTGATAATTTGAACTATGTACACGAAGTTGTACTTCACTGACCTGCCAAGGTTGTTCTGTTTCTGCAACACCTC